AGATGGCTGTAGACAAATGATTAGCCGAATTTAGGTGTTAAGGCTGACGTAGAACTAACTGGCCTGCAGAAGATAACGAAAAAAATCCCACAGGTTCTAAGACAAGATTTTTTTAGTGGTCTCTAGTTTCCTAAAACCAACCAAAGGTAAGTTTGCTTCGACATAGGACCAATTTTCATAGTTTCCAGTTCTTTAATTCTCAAAGATAGATAGAATTTCATCCTTACAGTACATTTTATCATTGGGGTGAAGGATGTGAAGAACGTAGGAGCATCAGGCAGGTAGTCTGAACTTTGAGGAATTGTTTCTATCATAACGGAGGAAATGTTAAGGTCAGTTTGCGCTAGTTTCACTAGGATGAGTTAATACATTTCTTCAAATCACTATAAAATTAGTAAAGGACACGACAAAGATCGCCTCTGTTGACTTCAGTGATTGAAAGCAGGAATTAGAAAGTGTTGACATTGTAATGTCCGAAGAGTGACTTTGCTTTGGTTGACTTCCTCTGTACTTAACCGGCTCATTAGAAGACAGAATGTTCCTTTTTTTAAAACTCGGCCCACTTCTCCTTTATAGTCTTTCTATTTAGAGCTTCATATTCAAACCATCAACTTAAGCTGCTTATGGATTACAAGAAAGCAGCATACATTGTCGTGTCGTTCAATCCAAACCAACATCTCTGCTCAGAGCTGCTGTCGGTAATCTGATTAGCATGGATTAGATCCTCTGCGTAGAGCCGTAGAAAAAAGGCTTAATCTCTTACTTTGATTGAAAGAGAAATATAAGAGTCTAATACTCTGAATTACATAGAAATACACAAACTCAGTTGAAGAACAATCTGTTTTCTTTCCTATGAAGTTCAGCCATAAAAAAACTAAAATTCTTCTGCAGTTTAAGAACTTTCTTGGTAACTTTCTTGGTTGATCTGTATGGATTTGTCCACATCTCACTTATGACCACTAGATTAGCATGCCACAACAACAAACATGACTCATTGGATTTAAAATATTGTGGTTGGAAGAACTAGTTTTATTGGACAAAATAGAAGCTAATAGAAACTAAAAGGTTCAAAGAAGAGCAATATTCCCTTTTATTTCCATTACAGCATTGATTCTAGTGGCTTAGTATCCTCTTCAATGAAATTTTATTCTGAATTACGTGGTTTATTTTCCTGCTAAATCAAGCAAATTGGAAATTGAGGAAGTTTCATTGTCATTTCTACTCAAATTGATGCTATCAGACCTCTTGCCACACTATGCAGCTGTTCTGTCAGCAATAATGAAGAATCACTGACATCTGCATGCTAAATGCTTGGCTTAGACTCACTGATATAAGGTCAATATTTTTTATTAGTATTTATTATCTGTTTGCTGCTGTAAAAAACAGAATTTCCCATTGTGGGACAAAACGGGATTTTCTATTTTATTCTAATATTCTGCAAAAAGTGCACAAAAAGACATTTTTAACTATTTAACATGTAAACTACTCTTGACTTGCATTTTGAACGTGGTGTGGAGGCAGCATGGTGCTTCTGTAGAAGGTGGGAAAGATGGTGGGGGGTGGGTCCAAGCGCTTCTGGGCCTTTTGGACCAGTGAGGTGGTGTTTCCAGTCCAGGTGAGGGTGTCTGTGATGAATGTGGTGCTGCTGACCACCTCTACAGCTGAGCTGTTGATGAGCAGTGGAGCGTGGTTAGGCCGGTTCTTCCTGAAGTCCACCATGATCTCCTTGGTCTTCTCCACCTTCAGGATCTGGCTGTTATCTCTGCTCCACCAGCTGCTCCACCTCCTCTCTGTAGTCCAGGTCGTTGTCGTCTCTGATGAGGCCCACCACTGTGGTGTCGTCTGCAAACTTCACCATGTGATCGGTGGTGAACCTGGGGACGCAGTCGGACGCAGTCTAAGCCCCTGCCCTCAGGGAGGGGCTTAGACTGATGACATCAGAGGCGTTTTGTCCGACCCGGACTGACTGAGGTCTGTTGGTGAGGAAGTCTAGCAGCCAATAGCAGAGGGGTGTATTGAAGCCCAGCTGTTCCAGTTTGCCCATCAGATGCTGTGGGATGATGGTGCTGAAAGCTGAACTGAAGTCCAGGAACAGCATCCGCACGTGGGTGTTCTTCTCAGGCTCAGGTGGAGAGCAACAGAGATGGCGTCCTCAGTGGAGCGGTTCCATCGGTAGGCGAACTGGAACGGGTGGAATGTTGGCGGCAGACTGGAGACGATGTGTTCTTTAACCAGCCTTTGGAAGCACTTCATCATGATGGGAGTCAGAGCGGCAGGCCGCTAATCATTGAGGGAGGGGACTAATGGAATAATGGAGGCAGACTGGAAGCATGCTGGCACTATGGATTGGTCCAGCCAGGTGTTAAAGATGTCTGTGAGTCTGTGCACACTCCTTATACACCTGCCCAGGTATGTTATCAGGCCCTGGGGCCTTCCTTGGGTTGAATCTCCTCAGAGTTTTCCTCCCTTCAGCTACGTCCTGGTTTAGTGCCTCCTCCCCCTGGTGTGGAACAGCTTTCACTGCTGGAGGATGTTTAGTGCCTCAAACCTTCCAAAGAAGTTGTTTAGTTCATTTAGGAAGTCAGCATCAGCTACACCCAGCAGGAGGTAGGGTGTGTTATAGTCTATAATCGCCCGTATGCCTTGCCACATCCTCCTGGTGGCATCATGGAAGAGATCCTGGGTCTTCTAGCTGTGGTTCTGCTTCGCTGATCTGATGGCACGGTTAAAGTTGGCTCTTGCTGTCCTCAGAGCCTCTCTGTCACCAGACTTCAAAGCTGAGTTCTTTTAGCCATTTCTGAATCTCTCCAATCATCCAGGGTGGTAGGTTGGCCTTGGTTGGTGATGTTCTTTGTGATGCTGACTTTCTCACTGCTTTTGGTGATGTAGGCTGACAGAGTCATGCAATACTCATCTATATTAATCTTGTTTTTATATGTAGCTGCAGCTTTGAACATGTTCCAGTCAGAGCATTCAAAACAGGCCTGGAGTTTCTCCATGGCCCCCTCAGACCACACTCTGACCTGCTGCACTGTTGGTTTAGCCCTGATTAGCTGGGGCCTGTATGCAGGAATTAGCATGACAGATTGGTGAGCTTTATATTCCTCATAATTTCCTTCACCTCCTCATACTTAAATTCCAGCTGCACACGATAAGGAATTTCTAACTGTATCACAAATGCCTGCAATATTAGAACCAGATGCAGGTTATTGGGCGTGAGGCGGGATACACCCTGGATAGGTCGCTATGAGATGCTTAAAATATGATGAAATACGAAAAACAAACCATTCTCTAATAGCTGGGAGTAAAGGATCCATTCTGTAAGACATATCTTACATGTTAACTGCGGTGGTTCAAATGTTTGGTTTGAATGAATGAAATACAGGAAAAACTGGTCCTAAAACTGGGTCATGATGTAAGAAATGACTGCCAGAAAGAATTTACAAATTACCGTACTGTCAGAAGATCCATGTGATTTTATCAGTCATTTTAAATACACATATTTTAAATGCCTTGATCTTTTTTTAGTTTAAATACACATTTCTATTTCCAAAGAAAATTCCAGTTGGCGAAGTCATCCCTGGCAGAGGAAAGGGTTTGTGCAGGTAACCGTGTCCTGCTGCTTAATATAGTCTGACCTGGTTTTCTTGTGTCTTCCTCTTTATTGCAACCTAACCAGATTAGATCTGAGGCGCGGAGGGAGCGAAGCCTCATTTCTGCATGATTATTTTGATGAGTCATTGACAAACGTTACGGACTGGAGCGTTTTCCTCACAGCTTTCATGCTTTCAGTTTAACTTGGAGCTAAACTCCAGCTCACACCAGGTGACACGTCTTTAAAGGTCTCTTTTCTTTGCCGGAGACAGAAGGGAGAAGTGTTTGTTTAAAAAGTGCAGTTTGGACATGTTTAACCAGTTCTGGAAGAGAACGTTGGCTGGATGGTCGACCCTATAGGGAAAGCTTTTACTTCATGGCCGACAGCAGAGCGGGACACAAAGCGTTTTTAAAGGTACGTTTTAGGAAGGATTTGTAGTTTTTCTGCCTTAGGCTCAGATGTTTGTATTCTCTATTTTTGACAGGTTTCCGTAGAAACTAATTTAAGCAAGATCCAATTAGAGAGCTAAAGTTTAACATGCTTTATGCTCATAATGTTCTACTTAACTAAAAGGAATCATCCTAGTGAATTAAAATCACATTAATCTTCATTTTGTTAGTTTATTCAAAAACATTTGATTTTTTATATAGAGTCAAAATTCATTTGACTATTTCAGGTTTTTTCTTTTCTTAAGAAGTTTGCAGATCCATAAATAGCCAATCAGAGAGAAGAATGCTGAGCTGACAGCTTCTAATCACTGACTCCTTTCAAAAAGAGGGCAACCTTCAAAAGGTCATCACTAAACGAGTCAAAGTCTGCACCAAAGTGTTATAATGGAAAGTTAAGTGGAAGGAAAAAGTGGGGATGAAAAATGTGTTCAAGCATCAGAGGCAGAGTAATGAAAGTTTCATATTTGGGGGGAAATGGGAAGGAGATTCATAAAGTGAAGGCTGTGGTAATAAGCTAGCATGCTATGGCTAACGCTGCTGCATGTTTAAGCCAGAGAAGACAGAAGCACGTTACAGAGCGAAGGAGCAAAGGTCCTTCATGCAAAGCTGATCTGATGCCCAAACCGAGGACTGGATGCACATTTTCTACAGCAGAGCTCCTTAAAAAGATAACAAAAAGACGGGCAACCCCCTGAAATACATGTGAATATTTGAAATGTATGCAGATTATTATATTAATACTAGAGCTGCAACTAACGATTATTTTTATAATCAATTAATAATCAGATAGACTTAGACAATTTTTAACTTTAGACATTTCTTTTAGCCAAAGGTTCCTTAAAGAAGATTTTCTTTTAATGAAATTAAACTAAGTGAAAATAAAACTTTTCCACTTGAAGAGTTCTGGATAGAGCAGATTAACAAAAAGTGTTTAAAAAAAATCTTAAATACAAAATGTTTATATATTTCTTTTACAGTTTTGGTATAATTTCCTGCTCTGAGTTGTTTTTTCTGTCTAAAGGCATGTTTTACAGTCTCTATACTCCTACTCCAAATTAGTTGATGATTATTTCAATAATTGATTAATCTTTCTGCCCTAATTAATCCATTTACAAAGTAATTTTTTAAAATAAATGTCGATTATTGTTCATTTTATAGTTTAATGGTTTATTTATTAGAACTCTATAGATGAATAAAATAAGCTTAAACCTAACCATTTATGACCCCCACTTGGGTGTCTCGCGACCCTCCCGGGTTCCCTGCCCCCCGCATTGGGAACCATGATGTACAGCACACAGATGTGCTATAGAATAGGCTCTAGTTCCAGATTAGAAATCCTTTTTTTAATTGAAATGTCACTCTGTGTGGAAAGAATTTTTCTGATTTATGAGTTTAAAAGCGGATCATTCAAATAAAATCACTTTTCAGGGAGAATCTTTGACATTTTCATCCAAAGACTTTCAGGGATTTAAAATCTCCAAGAAGAAAAGAAGCTGCTGTCATGTAATTACAGTCTGGTCCTAAAAGAGCCGTCCTTTTCTAACGACCAGCAGACATGTAATTATTTCACAGTCATGTCAGACTGTCTTCCTCCTGGTTTGCATGTCATGCTGCTATGCAAACACTGTCAAACTTGCTGATTATCTTGAAAAGCAAAGCCGGCTTCCAGTTAATTACACATCTCTAAACGTCTTGCTAATAAAGGCGTTTTTCCCTCTGAACTCGCTGCCTGACCTGATTTTACGCTCCTGTCACCTGATCCCCGCCCGTAGTGGCGTTTCTGTTGTTTCCTGAGGCTGGAGGTGTTGCTGAAGGTGAACTGTGGGCGGGGCCTAGCAGGCCTGGTCTCTCAGGTAAAGTGAGTTCATACCTTGGAAGCAAACACTGAGAGTCTGTTTAATCCAGGACATGAAGCTCAGGAATCTGCTTTTACTGCTGACAGCTGGAGAACATGAAAAGATAAAGCTTTACTGCCAGTTTATTTGAACTTTATTTGAGTTTCCATCGTTAAGGATCGGATTTGAACTATTTTGTCCTAAAATCAATAATCAGCAGTAACCAGTATGTATATACGGTATTTAACAATAATTAGGTAAAAAAAAGTTAATAAAGGTGAAAGATCAAACTTTGTTGATCATTGCATTAACAGAAAGTTTTCTTCTGATGATGATTTTTGTGTTTCGTTCTCTGGAAAAAACTTTTAGCTGTTTGAGCTCATTTCAAACTTCTTTACATTAAACTTAAAGTCATTATTTGACATTTTTTACACGCCAGGGACTCATTTTGGCTGCATGTAGGGCTGAAACAATCAGCTCAATCATGATTAATCGGATTTTGAAATATTCGTCAACTAATTCAGTAATCTATTGATCGTTTATTGAAGTGTAGGGACTGTAAAACATGACTTTAGCTGACGGAGCGACACACTTAGAGCAGGAATTATACCAAGATGGTAAAAAAAGATATAAATATTTTGCATTTAAGATAAAAAAAAAATGTCAGTCTGCTCTATCCAGAACTCCTCAAGTGGAAAAGCTTTAG